CCTGGGAGCCCCTTCACTTTCCCTGCCACACACTCTGAACCACCTCTGAGACAGCACAGACAGAGTCAAGGCACAGCAAACACCAATTTTGTTCCAAGCCCATAAATCCCAAGGCCATTTTTGCCAGTGTTCCATAAAGGGGACTGAAGGAGCAGCAATCATTCCTCCAGGATCTTTTGCAGCTCAATAACAGCAAAATAACAAATTCTAAATAACCAGAAAAATTCATATTAAATGTATTAAATCAGGTGTCAGTCACAGCAAAGAGCAGATGCACCCTCAGCTTTTATGAGTGGGGTAAAAAGGGCTCCTCCAACCTGAGTTAGATCCAATTTAAAGCACACAGCAAAGACTAAATTCATGTAACAGCTTCTTTCCAGCAAGGAACACAAGGAATTGCCACAGCACAAGCAGGGCAGACACAGCTCTGGCTTGGGGAAGGATGCTGCAGGGATTCACCAGGGGCTCCAACACCCCCAGCCTGTTCTTCTGGTTCTTTTCCACCTCCCTGCCTTGCCAGGGATGGAGCAAAAATGATCTGAACCTTCATCAGCAGTGCAGATTGTCAGGAGATCTCAGCTGGGTCATAAACTATTTATTAGGGCTGGATTGCTGAGGTCACCTTTAGAGAGCTGGCTGGAAATGCTCATATTCTGACTGGGTCTTGCTTAATCCATCAATAAACACCTTCAGTAACAGCTAATTGGAATCAATATTTAATTTTTATAAGCTGTGAAGAACAGTTTTTAAGTAACTCCACAAGCTAACACTGGAAATTAAAGGAGCAGCTTTAATTCTGTAATTGAAGTTCTATAAATGAGTTTCAGCATTGGTAACAACTTAATTAAATGTATCTAAAACCAGCAAACACAGAGTGGGAACAGGCAGGTTTGCTTTGGGTGGTGGCTTTGTTTTGTTTTGGGTTCTTTTTGTTGTTGTTGCTTTGGTTTTTTCCTTCCCTCCCTAAAATTAAGTGTTTTTCAAAAAAAAAACCCAAAAATCTTGGCACAAGCATTAGCAACAACCTTCAGCAATCTTTAGAGCAAACACCTGAAGCAAATGAGATTCAGCTCTTCAAAAGCCACTCCAGCACTTCATGAACAGCCTGAATTCTTCTAATTCAAACACATCAAAGTGCCCCAAAGAGTGTTCACAATGAACTCCCTGCAACTCTCTGGTAACCAATGGCCATTCCCAGAAATGGAATTTTAAAGCAGAAAAATGTAAGAAGAAAACCAGGGAGGCCTCCATCCATTCAACTCTTACAGGAACTGCTGTTGGTTCCCATTTTATTGTGCCTGAACACTCCATCATCATTCAGAACAAGACAACTTTAATAACTAAATATAGATTTGGAAGGTAGGTTAGAAAGTGCATCAAAACTGAGGGGTGGAAGGAGGGAGTCAAGGTGTATTTTGTATTTTGCCAATGGAAAAGTGCCCTTAAAAGGTATTTATTGCAAAGAACTGCTGACACAAAAGCCCCAAAATTCTGAAGAGCAGCAACCAATGTGTTGAAAGAGTCGTGATTCAGGTGGAACCCCAAACACCCAGGCATGTAATTAGCAGCAGGGTAATTAACCATGAGCTCATTTCCTCCCAAGGAAAGGGTGGGGCAGGATGAGCTCAGGCTGGAGAACAGAAAATACAAAAGCCATCAGACAAGCTGGGGATTAGGCAAGAAATGTGGGTGTTATCTCTGCAGTGCTCCCACTTTTCATGTGCACCTTCCTTGCAAGGACAGCATTTCAGCAGCTGCAGGAGAAACAGTGCAGGAAAAACAGTCCCGAGAAAAGAAAGAGTCTGCTGAGCAACCACTTCAAACAAACCTCAGAGCTGGCCCTGGCACTGGGAGGGGAAATGCAGCCACTGCTTCAAACCTCCAGAATCCTGATGGCCACAAGGCTCCAGCTCCCCATTTCCTCAGCTGGGAGCTGTGTTCTCCCTTCAAATGTCAGCCCAGGCCTGGGGGTACAGGTTTGGGCTGTGCCTGTGACATCAGTGCCCAGCTCCATGTGACCCACAGCTGTGCTTTAAACAAAATCACAGGAAAACATCTAAAAACTCTTTGTGCTGCTCCACGGGGAGTTCAGGTCACAGGAAAGAGAAGATTAGCTTAAACTGCTAAAATCCCCTCAGCAACAGGCTCCTACACACTATTTCCTGCCAACCACACTCACCTGGACACAGATGGGAATTAAGTTGCCTAAAACCTCAGAGAAAAACTTCAGAACGTTTTATAAACTTGATACCTGACTTGTTACAAGTGGCATTTTAACAGGACTTCACCAACGAGACTTCTAGGTCTAGTTTTAGATCACAAGTCGTTAATTATTAAGAAAAAAAAAGCCCCAAGTATAATTGGGGATTACACAGCAAGAAAAAAATGAGCTGAGAAAGGCTGTTCTAGCTTAAATAACAGCACAGAACAAAATTAAATACCAGAATGATGGACTGTCTTCAAGCCTATAATCTGTTTGTTGTTCAAAGCAGTCTCAGGAATTGGTGTAATTGGCTTTATATCCCATTCTCCCTTTCTGCTGTGTGCTGTTCTGGGCTTTTTCTTGGTCAGCAAAGCTACAATTCTCTTCCTAATCCTCCCTGCTGCGAAAAACCACTTGTGTAACCGTGTCCAGAAGGCCAGCACATCCAATTGCTGAGTGAAGCCCTGTTCCTGGAAAACACCTCATCCCTCTCTGCTGCTCTGGTTTGCTCACTGGTCTCACAAAGTGTTGGGCAACTGGAAAACCAAAAGCAGCTCAGTGCAGTTCCCCAAAGTCCTGGTGAGAGGAATCAAAAGTAGTTTCAAATGAGCCCAAACAACAGAAGCATGGCAAGTCAATGATGGATTTAAACCACAACCTCCACAATGCCACCCTTTTCCCCAAAACTGTTCAGTTCTGCTAACTCCCAGCACTGGGCCCCACTCAGCAAAACAAAACACAATTTCATTTTGCCTGTAAAACCTTCTCAGCAGCCCATCCCTGCCACAGCACAGCAGGATTTCAGACAGCACTGAGAGAATTTCTTTGGAAATTCCAGCACATCATTAATGTCTCAGGATCTCACACCCTCCCTGAGCCACTCCCTGCTTCAAGGGAACAACCTGAGCTCCACAGTGCTAACAGCAGCGACAAACACCCACAAAAGCATCCAAAATGCACTGCTCAGCATCTTGAGTGCTCTCCAGACTCCACCTGGCTTCGCTTTAAAGGACTTTGATCCTCAGCTGTGCAGTGAGAGGCCAGGCAGGGACAATACTTACAGGAAAAAAGCCAAAACCTCATTGATCCGCAAGGAACTCATCAGGGACACAGGCTGGGCTGGGGGACTGTTGGTAAAGCTACCAGTGACACCTGCACCCTGTTAACTACAGGCACAGACCCACGGAATTAATTACATACAGAGATAACAAAAATTAGCTTTAGGAGCTGCACATGGAGGAGGGCAAACACCCACAACAGCACCGCTCAGCATCTTAAAAATGCTCGCAACTTCCCCCGGCTGGAGTTTAAAGGACTTTAATCCCCAGCCGGGCAGCGGCAATACTTACAAAAAAAAAGCCAAAACCTCCTTGATCCACAAGGAGCTCATGAGGAAAACAGGCTGGGGGGGCATGGTGGCAAAGCTGTCAGCACCACCTGCACCCCGTTAACACCGGCACAGCCCCACCGAAGGAACATTTACATGTGCATCTAGTAAAAATCACTTTTAGGAGGAGGAAGGCGGTTTGCCAAGTTTCCGCATATCCCGGTGTTTGTTTATCCCGGTTTTTGTCCCGGTGTTTGTTTATCCCGACCGCTGCCGCCCTGCGGGGCCCAGGGACCCCTCGCCCAGGCCCACGGCGGCAGCGGGGCCGGTGTGAAGCCCCTCAGCGGGGCGGACACCGAGCCCCGACCCTCGGTTCGAGCTATAACCGGGGGGACGCGGCCGCCCCCGCTGTCCCCGACCCCGCCGGGCCCTCACCCCGCGGCTCTCACCGGCTGCCCCGGGCGGAGGGGCCGGCCCGGCCGCTCCGCTGCGCTGCTGCTGCCGCCGCAGCCCCTCACGGCCCCGGCGCTGCTCGGGCCCTCCCTCAGCCCCTCCGGCCCTCCCTCGGCTCCGGCGGAAGGGCGGGCGGCACCTCCGGGGCGGGACCGAGCCCGGAAGGAAGCAGGGCCCGGCCGCGCTGGGCGGAGCGGCGGCCGCGGGGGAGCGGGTGCGTTGAGGGTGAGCGGGGCTGGCACACGGCCGGGCTCTGTGAGGGTGAGCGGGACTGGCACACGGCCGGGCCGGGCGGGGCTGGCACACGGCCGGGCCGGGCCGGGCCGGCTGTGCTGAGCTGGCACACGGCTGGGCCACTGCTGTGAATGCACCCACAGCTCCTCTCCTCTGTTTTTTGCTATCGAGCCCTCCCAGCGTGGCGCATTCCCGCATTCCCCTCCCTTCCTTCTCCAGAGCCCGCAGCAGCTCCTCAGGGCTCCGGGGCCCAGCCCTGGCCCCACACGAGCACCCCAGAGCTGCCTTGGGGAAATACAAAAATACCCGCTGCTATTTCAAACTCCTCTTTCCGTGCACAACGCAGTGTTGTGTGCTGGTTTGCATCTCTCTTTTTTTGTTTGGGTTTTTTTTCTCTTTTTTCTTTCCTCAGCACTGTGAGACAGGGAGTGCTTCAGCCGGACAGATGGACAGAAGGAAATGCCTTCAGACCAAGGGGAAATTCTTCTGAAAGAGGCAGAAAGGTTCTTTTTGAGCAGTGCAGAAGCAAGGGCAGCTGCTGTGCTCTGTCCCAGGGATGGGATCAGTCATTGATTGCAATGATCCATCCCAGCCCGTGTCCCTGAGCACACGCTGCACCAGTGCCTCTGCTAAGGAAATCATAATAAACACCTAAATGCCATTAAAACAGCCCGGGACAGAGATTCCTGGCTTAATTTTCATTTGCAGTCAGGCAAAGCACACTCGAATCCCAGGGAAGGTGAGGAAAAACACAGCAGTGGCTGCAGACCAGATGAGCCAGAATTCCAAATTTTCAGTATCATAATTTATTGCACAACATAACCTTTATATCCACGTTTTCTTCTATGTGTTTTAAATAAAAAACATACAGATTATATATTACCTGAACTGAAAAGTCAAAAGTATTAAGAAATAATACACTGCAGTACTCACAGTATTGAACATCACACATCAACATAATTATTAACAAAACACATTTGGAGATAATTCCAAACCCTGATCGTTAGCATCCAGGCTGGATTTTCAAAGGCATTACGGGTTACAATGCATAGACACATACAATTTATAATTCAGCAAAACAAAATCCATTTATAAAAGTCACAGTGAAAGTGGAGGTAAACTGATACTAAGCTCGTGTAAGTAAAATGAACTATGAACTGCTGCTCTGGAAAGTGATTTCCAGTTAGAGAACTATATACAGGAGATGGAATTATCCTCTGAAATCAGCTTCTTTGCAGAAAGATAATCAAAGACTGGAGGGATTTTTTTTTTTTTTCATAACCCAAAATTTAGAATTATCTTGGGTCCTGTGTGCAGTGTGTGAAAACCTAAAAACATCTCCAGGGCTCAGTAATGCCAACCACAACTTAAAGCCAGCGGGGTCTATAAATTGTCCAGGGTAAAATGGAGCTACAAAACCTTTAATTATATCAGTAATTAGATTTTTAATTAATCCAATGGAATGCAATATACAAATATTTCCTTTTTCTTTCTCTTTAAGATTATTTTGAAGCCCCTTCAAGGGGATTGGGGTTTTCTGTAGCTCACAAAACAATAAGATTTTCAGACTTTTCTCCCTCTCAGTTTTTGGCTGAATTCAGTAGTTAAAATTTGGGATGTGGTTGCTCATGTCAGAAGTACAAAAATGAAGAAAATATGATTCTGCAGTGGCTGACTCTTCCAGCATGGAAAGGAATTTCCTACTGTTTTAGAGTGGAGAAGTATCTGAATATGAAGTTTGAATTTTGTTTTTCCTTCTATGACACCAAGAAGGGTCAAGAAGAAGGATAAAATTAAGATTTAATTGTCTGAAAATATCATCTGACTTTAAGTCTAAAATAAAGTTTAATATCACAGAATGTAAAAAGAGTCAGTAATAAAATAATATACATTAAATATTCCTCTTACTACTGCTAATAGGAACATACAGACAGGGTTTTCTCATTTACCAAAAGCCTTTGCAAATGACCTGATTCTAAAGAGCTTTTTTTTTGTAAATATTGTAAACATTTAAAATTTCTAAGGCTAAAAACAGGCACAAGTCTTCCATGAACAGTTATTATTCCTAAAAGCATTAAGGAATATATTCCAGATCTGCTATTCCTTTTGATAACAACAGAAATAATTGAAGTACAACATTATAATTCACAACGTATGTTCTTAATTAAAAAAGAAATACAGCTTAACCCTGACAACAATTAATAATATATAAGGAATATTCCTTTTTTTTTTAATTATCTAGTACATCAAAATGACATTTCCAGATCTTTGTGTTGGGTGTGACTCAAACTTTATAAAGCTGAAGGAGGAACTAAAACATTTCTAAGAGGGTAAAACTGAAACGTCAGCTTTAGTAGCACCCCAGATTCCCAAAAATGCAGGAAAAATCTGCAATTCCATCCTGAAGCCACGTGGTTGGTGGCACCTTTGAGCAGATGTTCAGCCACTCCCCTCCATCCTTTGCTTGAGGTGATTTTGTTTTGTGCCTCGTTAAGGTACCTGAGCCAACAGTCTGATTTCAGGCTGGTTTTTCAAGTTTCCAGAGGTTTTCCCAACCCCTGCCAGCAGGCTGATCCCAAGGAATGTGAGCAGCAAGGCAGCTGCAGAGAACATTTGTCCTTTAAGTGCCACCACACTCATCAGCAGGTGATCTTGATGTCCTTTCACCCCTTGATGTGCCACCACACTCACCACAAGGTTATCTTGAAGGAACATTTGTCCTTTAGGATCCTTTCACCCCTCAGTGCCGCCACAAATCACCACCATATGATCTTGAAAGAACATTTGTCCTTTAGGAGTCCTTTCACCCCTTAGTCAGCCACCACAAGGTGATCTTGAAAGAACATTTGTCCTTTAGGAGTCCTTTTACCCCTCAATGTGCCACCACAAGGTGATCTTGAAAGAACATTTGTCCTTTAGGAGTCCTTTTACCCCTCAATGTGCCACCACAACTCACCAGAAGATCTTGAAAGAAGATTTGTCATCTAGAAGTCCTTTCACCCCTTGATGTGCCACCACAACTCACCACAAGGTGATCTTGAAAGAACATTTGTCCATTAGGATCCTTTCACCCCTCAGAGCCACCACGCTCACCACAAAGCAATCTTGAAAGAACATTTGTCCTCTATAAGTCCTTTCACCCCTCAGAGCCACCACAACTCACCACAAGGTTATCGTGAAGGAACATTTGTCCTTTAGGATCCTTTCACCCCTCAGAGCCACCACGCTCACCACAAAGCAATCTTAAAAGAACATTTGTCCTTTAGGATCCTTTCACCTCTTGTGGTGCCACCACACTCACCACAAGGCAATGTTGGAAGAACGTTTGTCCTTTAGGAGTCCTCTCACCCCTCGATGTGCCACCAAACTCACCACCAGGTGACCCTGAAACCACATTTGTCCTCGGGGAGTCCCGTGGTCCTTGGCTGTGCCCCCCGGTCACCACCAGGTGATCTTGAACTCGTAGATGGGGCGCTTGCAGTAGTAGTGGTTGATGAGGTGCTTGTCGCAGACGCCGATGCACTGGTGCTCCACGGTGATGCCGCGGGCGGACAGGTCGCTGACGATGCAGTGCAGGAGGTCGTAGACGTCGGCCACGGCCTCCCAGGGCCCGAAGGACACGTCCACCTCGCAGTGGTGCTCAAAGAGCTTGGCCTCGCTCTCGCTGCGCTCGAAGCGCAGGGAGTTGAAGTGGGGGCACTCGTAGGGAGTGATGGGCATCTCCTCCTTGAACACGCACACCTTGAGCTTGGCAAACCTGGCCTTCCTCTGCATGGCTCGCAGCTTGGCGATCTCGATTATCCGCTCCAGGTGGTCTGGGGGAGACACAGATCGAGGGTCCCAAGGAAGGGCCGGGGGAAAGAGATCAAAAGCAATTATTTCATGGGGTTATTTCATGGGAGACGTTTCACTGCAGCTGTTCTCAGCATCATATTAGCAGCATGTAGCAAATCAGTCTCAGTTATCTGGTAAGCTTGGTGGCCTTTTTATATAAAATATATATATAAAGTAATATAGCATATAATTACACAATTAATATATTATATTGTATTTTAGACATTCTATAACCACATATATAATAATTATATATAATAAAATTATATATGCAATTATATATATTATATAAAAATAATATAGAGAATAATAAAATCAATCTCCGTTATCTGGTGAGCTTGGGGCCTTATTACATTTTAAAAACTAATATATTATATAATTAATATATATTATATTAATTATATTATATAATTATATAAAAGATAGAATAATCAAATCACTCTCGGTTATCTGGTGAGCTTGGTGGCCTTATCATATTACAAATATATATGAATTAATATTTTATATAATTACATATATTTATTTATATTTATATATTATATAACTACATATATAATAATTATATGTAATTAAAATTCTATCTTATATTATATTATATAATATATATAAAATAAGATATAGAATAATCAAACCAATCTGGATTATCTGGTGAGCCTGGTGGCTTTATTACATGCCCAAGTTATCTGGCCTCACTACAAGGCCAAGTTTATTCCCTTGCAAGTCCTGACAGAACAAATGCAGACAAATCCTCTCATTTGATAACATTACAGCCTAATCTTGCTCCCTTCTAAGCACACAAATCCACACCCTGGGATGCAGCAGGATGTGGAGACCTCAAAGATCCAAACAGCATAACAAATACAGGACAAACTTCCCAGCTGCAATGGGATCAGTCTGGGAGCTGAGAGCAGACTGAAGGCAGAGCTTTGACACTGCAATCCCACTAGAAGAAACAGTCAGTACTACTTTGTTTATTTACCTTTGTAATATGGCATTAGGCCCAGGAAAGCTTGTCTAACTTTTTCTCCTTTAAGAGGCTGGATATCCTCTAGATTGTCTAGCAAGGGTCCTATGGAATAATACTGAGCTTCCTTGTACACTGACCTCACTCGCTCTCGGGGGGGCAGCTCACCAGATCGTAGGAAGTTTAGTATGTCTCTAAGAAAAAGGGAAAAAATATCATTAACAAACACATTTCTGCCAAAACTGCTGCAGGTGGGAAAGGACAGGAAATGCTGGATATTCACTGTTTGCTCTATTGAGACAGTAACTGAAATAAATGAGCCACATTCCCAACATTTGTTTGTAAAACAGTTTGCCACGCTCAGCTTTCCAAGCCATTATTTCACATTTTGCCTCAGCTGATGTCAAAACTCATTTGAAAAAATATCAGCGGATTTTAAACCAAACATTCATTGTGGAGGAAACCATTTATAACACAGAAGAGGCCAGAGTGTTTCATGGGAAAGAAATTGTGGTCACCGCATTTCAAATTTAGGTCTGGGACAAAATAAACTTCTGCATTTTCCCAGAGAATCATTTTCATGGACATTTAATTCCACACAGATCCAGCTGAATGGATGGGGCATCTGCAAAGGTTTCTCATCACAGATCAGGGCAATTTACAGAACAAGAATCAGAATTTTTAAAAAAGAGACAGAACATTTCCTTGTAGTTCTGAAACACTGTTCAGCAACAGCATCTTTTGACAGAGAGAGAAATCACTTTGTAAGTATTAACCAACAAAACCCTTATCAAATAAACAAAAAAAATCACTTTCTAAGTGTTAACCAAGAAAACCTTATCAAATTAAAGAAGCATTACTGCAATCTTAGAATGGCAACAAATACAGCACCTGCTAACCTGGCTCTCTGTTCCACAAGTATTTTCAATGAGGTTGATAACAACACAAATTAATTGGTTTTTCAACAATTGCCTCATGTAAAGGCACAAGTTATTCTAGAATAAACACAGTGGTTTAATCTACCTCTGTTCCAGATTATGGTACAACCCAAAAGTGCTTTGAAAATAATTCAATGCTCCTCTGTTGAAGGCAATAAGGAAATGTCTATAAAGAAGCAACAAGAAATTTAGGATAAATTGCAATGTGTGCTTTGGGCAAAAACCTGAGCCCATGAACACTGATCACCTTTCTTAGCAATCTCACCCCAACTCAAACAGAGCATTAGTAATCATGGTTAGTTTAGTTAAAAATAAAATAAAAGTTGAGCACTTAGGAAGGAGTCCTGGGGGTGAAGGAATATGGCACTACCAACAAAAATAATTTAGAAAAAGAAATTCTTTAAAGGCTTGTGCTTTATTTTAGCAGTTATATCCCATTTAAAGATTGAAAACATCATATTTTCAACTGTGTAACTCTTTCCTTCCATTCCCTCTTCCTTACAGATACTGAATATCAATTAAAACCCAGTGCTGTGCAGAGGAGTTTCCTATTTCCAAACACATCTTTAAACCATCCAAACACCTTGATACCTTGGAAGGAGATACTCTAGGGGAGACAGGGCACAAATTCAAGGAGATACTCTGGGGGAGACAATGCACAAATCCAAAGCATTTCTCGTTTTTCTTTTCCCATTGCACAAAGAATTTTTAACTGCATCCTGTGATGCTTTGAAGGTGTGCAATATTAAATGCTGCACTTTAAGGAAAAGAACTGTTAAAAACAAGTTTAAAAGGTTCCATTTAAAGGGAGGTAGAAACATAAAGTAAATAACATTTTACTAACCAATAAGAAAAATTAAGGGATGGATACTGGGAAATGGACATTTAGGTCAGTGTGTGGGGTAACACTTGGGGGGTTGACCCCTGGTCTCTGGATAATCACTCAATGTCCGGACAGAAAGTTCTAGATGGAGGGGATGGGATGCTGAGTTACATTTAAAGGGAGGTGGAAACCTAAAGTAGATAATATTTACTGATCAATAAGAAAAATTAAGGGATGGATGCTGGGAAATGGACATTTAGGACTGCATATGGAGAAACACTTGGGGGGCTGACCCCTGGCCTCTGGCCAATCACTTGATGTCCTGGACAGAAAGTTCTAGATGGAGGGGATGGGATGCTGGGTGATTGACAGCCAGGGTGGGGATCTGGGGATGATCTCAGCAAAGGAAAGGGATGACACAGGTGAAGGGAGGGGGTACAAACCCACAGCAGTACAAAGGATAAAGCACCCTGGAGCCCTACCCGAAGTAGGTGCCGTCCCTGTCGATGAAGTAGCGGCCCTCAGCGTCCGTGGGGATGTAGTGCCTGCCGCTGAACATGGCTGCCAGCATGGTGTCCTCGTACCTGCGCAGCGTCGACAGCCTGGTGGTGAAGAACATCCCCCCCACGTTCAGTGGGACAACTTCTGGGAACTGCAAAAGCAACCAGGACATCGGAAAGGAGCTGCCACTCCTCTGCAGGGGACAGCACAGCTGCCAAAAGGGCACTTGAGCTTTGCCAATGTGCGGTTCCTGCCCCACTGCCACGGATCAGGGAGCTCTGAGGGGTGAAAATGTGGGTGTTTGGCTGCTGGGAGGAATCAGGGAGTGGTTTGATTGTAGCTGGGAATCTGAAACAGCAGAAATCACTCAGCTGGAGTTGCAGATATTTGAGATATTAATGCCTCCTCTCTTGGCTCTTTTGGGGAAAGGAAAGAACAAAACAAAACCTCTTTCCCAGCCTTACACAGAGAGAAAAAAAAGGGAAGAAATCTCAGGTCAACCTTGGGATTTGCACTCTGCTGGTTCCTTTACACAACCAGACCATACTATACACTGCAAAAAAAAAAAAAAAAAATTGCATTTGTTTACATCAGGCCTAAAATCTTACTATCACATCCCAGGCTGCCTTAAGGAGCAGAATAAACACTTAATTGCGTGTCTCAAATCCAAACCTGGATGGAACGTGTAAGTAAAGCTGCCGAGCTACCCAAATACATTCAAGAGACTGAGTTTTATTCAAACGTGTTAAGCGAGCTGAGCATCCACAAGGAAATGCTGAATTCCTCAGCACCTGAGCCGTCTGTGCTGCCGCGATCATCCCCGTCTCAGGTGAGCTCTTACCTGCTGGGGCAGCAGAGGTAGCGCTTGTCCTGCCTGGGTGGCGGTGGGAGTGGCCGGCTCTTGGAAATCATCCTCTGCATCCGAGCTCGACATGGCATCATCCGGGGTGGCACTGGCTTTGCTCTGCCCCGTGACTACCACCATCCCTCTGGCTCTGGGGAGCAGCTCTGCTGGGTAGGAGGCCGTGGCAGTGCTGAAGGGAGACCCAAATTAATCACCCGGATTACCCCGATCGCTGCGCGCTCCCCGCAGCGGCCGCGTCACCCCGAGCGCTCCCAGCAGCGGCAGCGTTATTCCCGGGAGGAGGAAGAGGAGGAGGAGGAGCAGGGATGAGCGGGGATGCCGAGCACCCCGGAAAGGCTGCGGGGACCGCTGGTCCAAGGCCCTCCAGCCGCCGAGCCGCTGGCAGGGGCTGGAAGAGCCCGGCATCCATTGGCTGCACGGTGCAGGGAGCGATTGGCTCCGGCGCGGCTTTGCAGGAAAATGTCATTTGCTGGGAGAATTTGGGTGGCCGCCGTCCCAGCCTGTCCCTCGCCAGGGGCGGGATGCAGGAACACGGCCCTGCCAGGGGCGGGATGCGGGGACGCGTCTCTGCCACATTGGCGACACCCGGCTCCGTCTGTCACCTTCAGCCGCTCGCCGGCAGCGGGGCCGGGCACGGGGAGGGCTCGGCCGGGATCTGGAATGCCCTGGGAAATGGGAAAAGCGGGATTTCTCTGCAGCCGGGGAAAGCGGGCGTTTCCCTGCCCGCTGCATCGCATCACGGCACACACGGGATGTGAGACACGAATATTTAACTCTCACAGCACACACGGACCTGAGACACGAATATTTAACTCTCACGGCACACACGGGATGAGAGACACGAATATTTAACTCTCACAGCACACACAGGATGAGAGACACGAATATTTAACTCTCACAGCACACACAGGATGAGAGACACGAATATTTAACTCTCACAGCACACACGGGATGTGAGACACGAATATTTAACTCTCACAGCACACACGGGATGTGAGACACGAATATTTAACTCTCACGGCACACACAGGATGTGAGACACGAATATTTAACTCTCACAGCACACACGGGATGAGAGACACGAATATTTAACTCTCACAGCACACACAGGATGAGAGACACGAATATTTAACTCTCACAGCACACACGGGATGTGAGACACGAATATTTAACTCTCACAGCACACACGGACCTGAGACACGAATATTTAACTCTCTTTAGCACGCTGCTAATTATCATCTGAATTTAACACCTTCAAGGCTTCTCAGTCCATCCTCAGCAGGAGAATGGGATGCACGGACAAACTGCACGATAAAAATAATAATTAAAGGGAAGCCCGCTGCTCTCCTTACACTGTTATGTAAAATCCCTGTTCCCCAGCAGCATCACAACTCCCTAACAAAGACATTCCACCACCAGAGGCTTTATCCACCTCCAAACCTTCTCTCAAATCACTATAAAATACAGAAAGAGGAGGATTATTTGCACAAGCACATCTGGCATATTTATTTATTAACTCGATGCTTCCCCTCAAAATCAGGAATAAAAAATGACATAAAATTTTCAAAAATCTGCCTTAATAATGGTGCTAACAGTCACTGTGCACACTGTTAGATCTCAGCTCTTAAAGGAAATATTGAGTTCAGAGTGAACCCAGACAGAGCTGGGATGCTCCTGAGCAAAACAGGAACTTCATGGAGACCTGAGCATCTCCACATCTCCTGAAAATCTCCACATTCTTGGGAGTGTCCACAAAATTTGGAGGTGAGTCCTAGATCCTGTTTAACACCCTAATAAACACAGATAGTAGCTACTGTGGAGTTCCAAACATCATGAAGACGGTTGGCTCAGCCCAGAGAGGGACTAAATTTCTCTTCTCTACAGTTCATAATCATTTTCCACCCCAGCCCAATGCACAGGCAGATAAATAAGGATGGAAGAGCTTCTGAAGGGCCACACCCTATTAACAATTTTAATATTTGTCCTAAAACAAATTTTATTCTGACATCATTAATTGTCCAAACAACTCAACTATGCCTCACAGATAGAGAATACACACAATATAAATGAAAGATTCTTTTGTTTGGAATTCCTTTAAGGAGGTAAAGAAAAAGCTTGCAGATCAGCATTTATAAGATGCACAATCAAAAATTGAGGGTGAGTTTGTATTTACTCTGAAAATATTATTTATAAAGCTGCCACTTGACACCAGTGCTTTGGCTGCTATTTTGAGTTCTCTTTAGAGTACTCAAAAGATTGACCAAAAATGTGTTCTTGGTCTGCATTTTTCAAGGATGTCCCATAGATTTCACTAAATGGAGTTTAGTGAGAATAAACAACATTCACTCTATTAACTGTATCAGCATTATTGACCACAGAATGGGTTTTTGGGGTAAGTTCATCCATTTGGCACTGCACCAAAAAGGGCCTCTTTCCTAAGAGAGCTAGAGGCCTGAGAAAAAGAGATTTTCCTCCCTCTTTCATAATCTCCTTCAATATGACACCAAGGTTTAAGAACAAAAGGTATGAGACAGCATTAATTGTGTTGTGCTCAGGATACCAACCTTCTGTGCCATTGGAGCATCCACACAGCACAACCCCTCAATCATGAGGTTTAGGCCATGATGAGAGCAGGATTTGGAGAACAAGGAGTGGCAATAAAAGGACCAATGAGTGACAAGCTGAACCTGTTTTTGATGTTCACTAAAAGGTGAGTGAATTCCCTCTCTGGGCTGGCTTCACCTGCTCACCCAGGAGCAGTGAAACAGAGCTGTGCTGGCAGGAGCAGAGTCCTCCTGAAAGAAAGCCACCAGTTCATCTCTGCATTCCATGAAGAAAACACATCCACCTGAACCCCACAACAGTTTGGGTTGAACTGGACCTTAGGGATCATCCAGTTCCACCTCCCTGCCATGTCCACAGACCAGGCTGCTCCAAGCCCCATCCAAACCTGGGCTGATCCTTTTCTTTGCACCCAAAGCACCTGCAATAATTATTTTAACTATGTGTAGAAATATTCCTTTGTTAAATCTCTCTTTAAATTTACAGAATTTATTTATTTAAACTGAGCAAATGCCTCCATTTCGCTTTCAAATACATCTAGGTCTAGATCAACAGAAAACACCACCAATAAATAAAATTATCATTGAATCAAATATCACATCAGCAGCATCCAACTCTACCAGAAATGCCTCCTTCCAGTCCTTCCACCTGTCATTTAAAAGCAGGGATTGCTTCCTGGAGCTTTGGGGACAGCTCAGTAAATGAGCTGGCCCTGCCAGTTTGCCTTCATTCCCCAGAGAATGACAGCAACCCTTGAATTGGGCTTGATGCTGAGATTTATTAAAGCTTTTCAAGGCTCTGCTGTTCTCTCAACTTCTCCATATTGGTTTAAACAACTTTTCCTTAAATACCTTCTGAGGTATTTTCTTAAATACCTTCTGCACCAGTGTTGGCAAAGTTACAAACCCAGTAAAGTTACATACCAACAGAAAATGACATACTGGTTATACAGTCAAAGGCTTTTCTATCAGGGTTCTGATGAACATCACAGGAGTCCCACACAAACTCCTGTTCAAAGGTCACTCTTTGGGATGTGCTTTTTTGGGGAGATACCAACTGGATTGTTAGAAGGCTCCCCCTTTTTAAAGAGAAATGGGGTAAATGAGACCTGATTTAGGAAAGTCTGCATCACCAACTTCAAGAGACACAGATGATTGTAAGGTTTGTGTGAACACAGAGGGAAAAGACACAACATCCAGTAAATTCCAATGAATCTGTGTCAGAGCAGCAAAGAAACATCCTGGAAGAGGGGCAATAAACTGGACTGTAAAATCCCAGCATCTCCAGTCATAAACAGCCCAGAGTATGATGAAAGGGCAACACAACTTTGCAGCTGAGAGCAAACACAGGGTGTGTGGATGGGCAGAATGGGAGTGTCCATCCCAGTGACCCTGCCGGGACACCTGGCTGGGGCTGGAGTGACCATGGCTGAAGGACACTGGGGCTGCACTTGCTGGTGCTGGCACTGCCCCTCATGGAATCCCACAGCTTGAGGACATTGGGGCTGGCACTGCCCCTCATGGAATCCCACAGCTTGAGGACACTGGGGCTGGCACTGCCCCTCATTGAATCCCACAGCTTGAGGACATTGGGGCTGGCACTGCCCCTCATGGAATCCCACAGCTTGAGGACACCGGGGCTGCCACTGCCCCTCATGGAATCCCACAGCTCTCAGCACTCACTGGGGCTGGCACTGCCCCTCATGGAATCCCATAGCTTGAGGACACTGGGGCTGGCACTGCCCCTCATGGAATCCCACAGCTCTCAGGACACCGGGGCTGCACTTGCTGGTGCTGGCACTGCCCCTCACGGGATCCCACAGCTCTCAGCACTCACTGGGGCTGGCACTGCCCCTCATGGAATCCCATAGCTTGAGGACATTGGGGCTGGCACTGCCCCTCATGGAATCCCACAGCTCTCAGGACACCGGGGCTGGCACTGCCCCTCACAGGATCCCGCAGCTCTCAGGACACCGGGGCTGGCACTGCCCCTCATGGGATCCCACAGCTCTCAGCACAGCGGGGCTGCCCTCGCTGGTGCTGGTGCTGCCACTGCCCGTCACGGAATCCCGCAGCTCTCAGAGCTCGGAGCCGTCTGACAGCTGTAGGAGCACAGGCATCACCACAGGGGCAGCACAAACCAAGCGGCGGCCACGCCAACACTCCGGCAAATAACCAACAATTCATTCATAACTAATTAAACATTAACTCTCACATTGCCAGGGCGACACAGCCTGACCGGCGCCACCGCTCGCGAGGGGCTGCCCCGGCCGCGGTCCCTCCGCTCCCCTCACCCCTCCAGCCCCGCGGCCTCCCCGCCGCTCCCTCACCTGCCGCGGGTCGGTAGCGGAGCCCCGCCGGGGATGGAGGGGATGAGGGAGGGCTGAGGGGAGCGGGCCCGGCTGTCCCCGCCCGCGCTCACCTGCTGCCCGCCCGCGGCCGCGGCTCCGCTCCGGCCCGGGGGGAGCGGCCGCGCCCCCGCGTCACGTACGGGCCCATCCGGGTCCCGGCGGGAGGAGCCGCCCCGGCGGCGGCACCGGGGCGATCCCGAGCCCTCAGCGCCGCGCGGCTCCGGGAAGGAGCGGGGGAAGGAGCGGGGGAAGGAGCGGGGGAAGGAAGGAGCGGGCGAAGGAGCGGGGGAAGGAAGGAGCGGGGCCGCGCTGCCCTGAGCCGGCAGCAGGGGAGGCCCCGGGAGCGCGGGGATCGCCCTTCCTCAAGGCACTGCAGGTTCATCAGCACCACACGAGAAACGGAGAAATAGCAAAACTCTGTCAGAGCCAGAAGCCGAGGAAATACAAATGTTTTGGCACGAACTCCTCTCCAAACCAGTGGGGAAGGTTGAAACTGCCTTCACCGCCTTGAACCAGCGAGGGGAGCAGAAATTGAGCCACAACGCCCATGCCAAAAATAACTTACGGAAATAATAAATGTTCCGTAAGATCGAAACTTTAGGGTACAACTCACAGCAGCAGTTTGCCCCCAGCAGAGCATCTCTGAACAAAATTGCTGTTAAGGAAAAAAATTCAGGAGTCTAGAATTACCTACTTCTACCTGCATCAAACAAATCTCACCTTATACCTCAGTGGGACACTCCAATTTACTATTTCTTCATCACCCAGCTATTAAAAGCAAACAAAAAGCATTAAATTGCAAGTTTAAAATAAGATCCAAACTCTTAAAATAAGATCCAAACTCAGGACATGAAATCATATCTTCCCTCACATCAACATCTTGAATTATTACTAACACAGCAGTATCTTGAATTATTACTAACACATCAATATCTTGAAATATTTAAATCTTAAGTTGGAAACAAGACCATTAATTAAGAAATAAATAAACAAAAATCACATTTAAAGCATTTATTTTGAAAAATAAAATACAAAAGATCATTGAATTGTAATTGTACATGTAATTTATCAACTTTTTTTTTCTTTTTAAATAAAAGATATTTAACATTTTTCACATATGAATAAAACAAACAACTTTTCCACCAAGAATCTTTCAGGACAAGCACAGACCACTCTTGAAAGCTTTGTACATTTAAAACCAAACTGCTACAAGAAACAAAAAAAATCTGAAGATGAAGCCCTGTAATTAAAACAGAGGAGCAATTTCAGAGACAGGCATTGCTTCTGCATTTTTTAAAACTTAAAGAAAAAATAGTTGTGCGAATGTAATGCAGTTCTACATTAACATCTGTGATTTGTTTTTGTTTTTGTTTTTTAACAGGTTTACATGCGCTCACAACAGCAAAATTTGGAACAAAAACAGATGAAAGAAAGAGGAGAGAACATTCTGAAGAGAGCAGGCCATGAGCAGCACATCTCTGATGCCAGGGGGACAGGCCTGAGGGATCATTCCCATGGAAAAGGCAGCAGCTGATCTTCTAAGGAAAAAGAAAGAAAGTTATGTTGGAGCTGGTAACATTCAGCTTTTTATCCTGGACAGCATTTTGGAATTACAAATATTGCAGAATTAAGAGTAGCCACTGTTGTCTCAGCAGGTGGAAATCACTGCCAGGACAAATCCCATTGTAGAGGAACGGGGCTGCTTTGTCCCTCCTTTATCATTGAGAGACTGCTTGCAGCATGGTGCAAAAAAAAAAAAAAAAGAATAAATATTGATTTTCCACTGACATCCCAAAGCCTTGTGACCCAGTGGGAAGCTATGCTGGGAAGTTCCCAGTTTGGTTTCTTCAGACAGAAATATTGCAGGTTGAAACCCATTTTTCAGAGCTAAGTGGCAAAATGAGGTTGATGCTTTCATTATTTTAAATTGACTCTGTGAACAGATGATGGTTTCTCTATTGATTTCACAGTCAAGGTCTGTAATTCATCTCTGGGAAGATTTTAGAGCCATTTTTTCTACACAGAGCAGTGCTTTTGGCTCTATTTAGGGTGTTCATATTTATGGCCACATAAGGATCTATTTTGGGGATATTTGTAGGGGACACTGCTTTGGGCTATTTTTAAACTGGATTTAAATTTTGCCATCTTTTGTTGTCAAGCCAGAACATCTGATAGCAGAAAAATCCTGGATTAACACAGGAAATCTTGTATCACTCATTCCTTAACTGGTCTGGAATTTACTCAGTTCCCTGCAAAATTTTGTCACTGTTTATTCAGTGACTAAAATGCAGCTTTTTGAAAATACTATGAGATGTTAAATCAAATATCACAAACCAGTTCATCTTTAGCAGCTTCTTTTAAAAAGCATTTCTTCATATTTATCTTATCTATGGAGTTACAGAAGTTAAACAAAAATCATCTTAATTTAAGAACAACAAATGAGCAGAACTGCAATGCTCTTTTAATACCTTCTGTGCAAGAAATGTCCATTTTATCTTCTATTCCATAGGTTCAGTCTGTCAAAAAAATAATTAAAATGAAATTAGCTATTTTACATTAGAGGACAAAAATATCAGTACCAATGTCTGTTCTCCAAACCTTTGAGCTCTTTAGTTACATTATGTTAATATTAAAGGACAACACTGTCAGCATCAATTTGATCAGGTTTTTATGGTTTTAGGAATATTCTTTTACTCTTCCACAGTGCTTATTTTTGTCTTTTGGATGGTCTGTCTTTGCTATGGATAAATCTGCTCAGATTTTGGTAAATACTGTATTTAAACCAAGGAGATATTCACCTCCTGGAATTTAGCAGGAACCTCCCTATCCTATGGAGTGAAGAAGGAATTTATCAGAGTGGTTTTGGGTACCCCAGGACAAGTGAAAACCACAAACAGCATCATTTAACTGATACTGTATGCAAACAAGGATTTCAATGATTTAACCCAGGATTTATTCAACATCAAGGATTTTTCTTTGCTAGCACACCATCTATAGACGGTGTGCTCAATTCTGAAGGATCTCTCTGCATTTTCCATAAACCCCTCTCAGCAATATTTCCCCTCCTGGCAAGGCACACCCCATTCCTGCAGCTAATCCTGCAATCCCAGCAGCAACCCCAGGTGGGAGTGAGCCCAGCAGCTCCTGAGAATTGAGCAGCACACATGGAGCAGACACTCAGTGACAGGGACAATGCTGCAGCAACAGGGCTGGGATGGTTCTCCAGAGCTGAGCAAAGCAGGAGCACTGAGTGATCCAAGCAGGCAAAGAGGCAGGAAAAGCCAAGCCCACGTTAGAGATCACACAAAGGCTGCTCAGAAAGGTTTGGTGGCCACAGCAGGGTTATTTTCTGAAAACATGAAACACACACTACAGCTATGCCTCTTTACTGCTCCACGTTCATTTTATCTTGCCACGAGACTTCCTTTCTACTGTCTTCTTTGGCTGGAACAAAAGAAATCAGTTTTCCTTTTAAATGAAATTATTTTTATTTGAACAAATGGAGAAGTTAAAATGCTTTGTCTGTGGTAGATTCCTTGGTATTTTAAACCTGTTCAATCCCTGGAAATGTTCAAGGCCAGGTTGGACAGGGCTTGGAGCCACCTGGGATAGTGGAAGGTGTCCTTGCCCATGGCAGGGGGTGGGAAAAAAATTATTTTTAAGGTCCCTTCAAGCCAAACCATTCTGGGATTTTACAATTCCAGGGAGCTGATGACAAAGAACAGCATTTGGGGGTACCAAATTGTGAATTTTCAGTAAAACCTCAAGTTCCATAGCACACTTGATTATTAAATGAAACCACCCCTATCCATGGCTGGCTTTGTTGACTTTGATAACATCTCTATTTTTAAAATCTCTCAGTATTTATAACTCTGCCCTCTGCACTAGACTTGCTTTAAACCAAGATAAGAAAAGATAAAGCTCCTCTACAAGTAACAAACTTTGCTGTTTGGTCCACAAAAGAGGCTCAATTTTTCCTTCCATTTCACAGCAATATTGGGCAGCTCAGGGTGACAAGCACCACTCTTCACTCTGCAGTTACACAGGGACTCAGGAGAGGCTTGGGATGCTGAGTTCAAGGTTCCACCTCATGGATAATCAGCAAATCTCACCATGAATCAGAAAATCAAGCTCATGAAGAAGTGGTTTAGAAAATAAAGGCTGTTTGATATCCTTTGCTGCTACACCCACAAAAAGGAAATGAACTCAATACTGTACCTGTGGCACTTCTTTGAGGAAGTCAGGAAGCTGAAATTCACCTTTATAGACCTGGAAAAACAAACAAAAATTGATGCTACTCAAAGACCTCGTTCACTATTGTTTGAAATGCTGAAGAGCTTGTTAAGGGAAAGAGAAAAAAAAGAAAATAAGTTTTGTGTTGTTAGCATCCACTAATGCTAGAACATTAAATATTCTGGCATATTGTCTTCTCTCTAAAGGATAATTTTTAAAAGCTCATTGCTTCTGAGAATAAACATTCAAAGGACAAAAAAATGTATTCTGTTCTTTCATTTTTCCCAAACCAGAAGTATACTTGAAGAGTTTTACATCCTGTCTACTGTAGCATGAAGACTGATCACCTCAATGTCATTACTGTGATCTTGTGTAATAATTCCAAAATAAAAATTTCAAAAGGGCACAAACCTATCGGAAAAATTCCCTAAAGCCAGGAAATGGGAATGGGGCTCCTCCAAACCTACACAGAAAAATTCCCTAAAGGCAGGAAATGGGAATGGGGCTCCTCCAAAGCTACTCAGAGAAATTCCTAAAGGCAGAATATGGGAAGGGGTTCCTCCAAACCTACTCAGGAAAGTTCCTAAAACCAGGAAATGGGAATGGGGCTCCTCCAAAGCTACTCAGGAAAACTCCCTAAGGCTGGAAATGGGAATGGGGCTCCTCCAGACCTACTCAGAAAAGTTCCCAAAGGCAGGAAATGGGAATGGGGCTCCTCCAAACCTACTCAGAGAAATTCCCTAAGCCAGGAAATGGGAATGGGGCTCCTCCAAAGCTACTCAGAGAAATTCCCTAAGCCAGGAAATGGGAATGGGGCTCCTCCAGACCTACTCAGGAAAACTCCCTAAGGCAGGAAATGGGAATGGGGCTCCTCCAAAGCCTCCCTCTGAGCTGCT